TAGGATGAGCAAACTCCATAAACAAGCTATATCCAACAGCAATCCCCCAAAACTTCTCCTAAGAGTCAACCACATCTAGGTCTCCAAAAACCAAAGCAAGTCTCCAAAAGACATCCTCAAAAGAGCATCGAGCTCACCTTATGAATCAAACAAATCCTCAATGATATAGATACAAGTCCCCGTAAAATGATCTCACACAAATCAACTCACTCTGAGCACCACAACTCCGTTAACAACCACGGCAAAAACTCCCCAAGGGAAGACATAAAGGAAAGGAACCACCAGTCCTAAGAAGGGCAACACCACGACTCCACCTCTTAAACAAAAGACAACAAGGTCAAAGACTTCGCCCCTTATATGGGAGTAAGTCGACCAAAATCCACCAAATCCTCACCAAGGACTCAAGACAACAATGGCAATCCTCACAGACCAACTAACCCCAAAACCATGCACAAGGCGACGAAGAAAAGAGACTCACTCCTTGTGAAGTCCCAAACATGAACCAAGAAAAAGAGGAGAAACCCTATCCTCCCACAAGTGGCAACACCTTGAATACGAAAATGGAGCATTCTTCCCACCATAGGGAAATAGGCAGCCCAAGACAAAACAAATGTGGAAACTCCTCTACAAGGAATCTCACAATGAAACCATTACAGAAACTTGCATACAAACTACACGCGACTGAGGGAAACAAATAGGAAAACCAAACATGGAAGTCATGCATATAACAAGGAAGGCAACTACCAAATAAGTAAATCTACTTAGATAGATAAAGTCAAGAGTACATGCGGCACGTCTCCACGTAAACACAAAAGCATGTAATTAAAGCACAACAACAACACGACATCTCTAATCATATAAATAAGGCATGTTAATGTCACACAACAAGAAAACAAATTTGGATAGACCTCTACTTACTTATGCATCACAATAACATAAATCATACTACTAACATGGTAGTAAACGAAACTACAGAAGATAAAATAATGCAACAATGAACCCTATGTATATCGTATCCTAGAGTGTCTAGGTAAAAGGAAAACAAGTCCTAGCTATAATCTGACTCCAAAAACCAATGTGACAACAACCTATCTCAAAACAAACGTGAGCCATCACCATAATTATAAGACTCCTACAATCCATTTCCGAATCTAAAGGTGACACTACGAGTGACACTAACAATGTAATGCTCTCACCAACCCGAAACATCGATCAATCGACTCGACCACAAAAGAGTCATCACGCAAGGAGAACTCAAACGAAATGACTACTCTAGCCATACCAACAACAACCAAATCAATCACTATGACTAATCCCCAAAACAACCATCATCATCATCGATCAAAGGGACTATGCCTATTAGGACAAAACCAATGCTAATTCCATCCGAACTACGCTCGTAGCTAGCCAGTACGGTAGCATGACAGTGCCATGCACCCGCCCATAAACGTACCTGCCCATGAAAATTGCAATCTCAGAAGAACCTTCCAAAGCAACCAAGGATCCTAAGAGGTCCATAACCTCATCATAGACCAAAACCAACAAATCCAGCCCTACGGCTACGCTCAATGACTCAACTCATAAGAGCCTAAATAAAAAGTGTCTCTCCACCTACCTCAAAACTGATGTTAGATCAATAACGACCTAAACTACAATGAAATTGTGACTACAATCACCATCAATCTCAACTCGTGCCTCAACGACTAATCCCGTGTCATACCAAATATGCAAAACAGTTATGCATATATAAATCTAACCTAGCATACATCATATGTCATGTTCTTTACAATGGAATACAATCATACTAAACAAACGGCGTACCACATATAGCACATAAGCACATAAACATGTTATCAAACCAAAACATGCTTTCATGAAGCATATAAACACGTAAAACAAAGCAACAAAAACGTGATATGCACCCCAAACCCGTTGTCCAAGGTATTCAAACCTAGGACTCTGATACCACCTGTCTTAGCTGATGAGCACTGAAAAGTGCGCATTTAAACCCGTTAAGCTTAAGCATTCTAGTACCTTTATCTATCTTACTTTGCCGTTTTAGATTTATTACGTGTTATTTATATTTTCAGGCACTAATCCCAAAATTTAGCTAACTCAGCCAAATAAGAGCTTAATTGAAGCAATCCTGAGATAAACCAAAGGAGGGAGCAAAGTGGAGAAAGAAAGGAGCAAAAAGGAATCAAGTTGTGCAGCTGAAAAGTTTGATCGATCCAACTTAGATTTTGATCGATCGAACATCTATGATCGATCACAGTACTTCTCGATAGATCCAACCTTGGCCTTTGCTGAAATTCCAAGTTCGATCGATTGAACATCACCTTCGATCGATCGAACCCTATTTTGTCCTATTCAAATGATTGATCTTGATCTTATCCACAGCTGTACGCCTACCAACCACTTTTGTCTTTTCCCCATAAATTCTTGAAAATATCCCAGCCTTGTCATTATCCGGAGGAGTCAGACCACTTCGATTGATCCAAGATGCAGTTCGATCGATCGAACCCATTTTCGATCGATCCAAGTTAAGGTTCGATCGATCGAACTTCCTCCAGCGAGAAAAAGTTAAAATCCAGCTCATTTATTCCGTCCTTCATCCAATGATTGGAGAATATGCCTTGCACGACCACAGCTCATCATAGGGTGTATTTGACCTACCTATATAAGGAATATGATACACTTTTTGAGGGAGTCTCTTGTTACACATTGAAAATTGATCTTAGAGGCTATTCTTGGAGAGGAAGAAGGGAGGAAGCTAGATCAACCTTTGGAGGAGACCTTCATCATCAAGGAGCAGATTTTCACCATGGATTTAGCCCTTGAGGGTTGGAGCTTCATCATCATGAGTAGCTAGACATCCTTTTGGGGCTAAAGTTAGCCCCAAACATGCTTTCTTTACCTAATCTTGTGTAATTTTGAGGGATTTGTGTTGTAATGCATATTTTGACTCTTGAACTTATGAAGATCTTGATTATTCATTGAGTTCTATGGATTAATGCTTCTAATTGATCATTTTCTCTATCTATATGTCTATGTATGCTAAAGTAGATGCTCACCTCTAGATTTAATGTTATTGATGCATGTCTATGTGTATTAATGCCTTTAATCTTGAGATTGTCAAAATATGAAGTTCTTAATGTAATGCTCTTGTTATGTCTCTAGATGGTTCATACTTATTCCTTGATGGATTGTGCTTCTCTTTTAAGTAGTGTAGTGTTAGTTAGGGAAACAATTCATGCTTGTTCTTTGATGTTCCATGCTTTTGAATGCAAGAAGCATATGCTCTAATATTGTGGTGTAATGGAATTTTGAGCTTAATGAAGGATTAATGACTAGTTATGATATGTTGTATCTTTCACATGTGTTTCGACAATTTATTCCTCTCCCAATAGATATTTTGTACCTCTCACATGATGTTTAGATAATGCATGTTTAACTAAATCATCCTTATGGATTGCTTGGAGTATGAGCTTAATGAAAGGTTCAATGACTTAAATTGTTATTTTGTTATCTTCACATGATGTTTAGACAATATATTCCTCTACCAATAGATGTATTGTGGCCTCACACATGTTGATTGAGACAATTTGCACTTGTTGAGTCACCCTTACCAATTGAATGTCTTTTACACACACAACATTGTTGCAACACATTCATTTCCCTCATTAGTCACTTGATTATGGTTTGGAATAGTATTGTTTGGTGGCGATCTCTACACCCCAAGACCTTTCCTTCTTACTTACTCTTTATCTTATTGCATTGGTTTATTATAGTTTAGCTCATTTAGTATAATCAACCAACCAATTAATTGTGTGATCACTCGACCTACTAACCCTAATTACCATAGTTTCACAATTCGATACACCATCAAATCCCTTAGGACGATCCCTACTTGCCCTATCTATATTTTATATAGAGAAAGGTAGTAGTGGCTTTCTATAAATGTAAAACTTGGCCACCTCCTATATTCACAACTCTTCAAGCTTGACTTGGTATCGCGACCCTTGTAAAGGACCGGTCAATTTTTGGCACCGTTGCCGGGGAATTTAAATTGGCAACGTCGAATTGTGAAATTCAATTAGGATTAGTACTCTTTTGATCGTGTCTTTACTTTCTTTTTATTTCCTATTTTTTTTATTACTTATTAAGTTTGTTCTTCATTAACAAGGTGCATTGAGCAAGGAGCTAGCAAAGAACTTCAAAGCTAAGGAGCAAAGCAAGCAAAAAGGAAAAAAAATGCTAAAAATGAAAAGTTGCTAAAATTTTTTTTTGCTAAGCTAAGCTTTTAAATTTGGAGTTGAAGTGCTAAAGGACCATTATGAGACCTTCTTACTCAATCTCCTTAGTTAAATCGGGGGCCCACGTGGTGGCATTGCATATCATTGAAAGCATGGGAGTATGGGAATTATTGTATATGGAGGAAGTTGTTGATATTTGACTTGTTGTGGAGGAGAAGTGTTTGTTTGATTGCTTTGTTGTGATTTGTAGTCTTTACTTGATCATTCACTCTAGGCATTCACATGGAAAACCTAGAGGGTAATCTTGGCTACCTAGACCCGCATTTCATGCAAAACCTCCCTCCCGATCAATACGGTCTCGGAGCTCAAGCTCCAATGCCTCCAATGGTACTTCGTGGCTATGATGATCTCCATGCATACCATGCACCTTCTTGTATCATGTTGCCTAATTTTGAGACAAATCAATATGAAATCAAGCCCAAAACTATTCAATTGTGTCCACTTTTCTATGGTCTAAATGATGAGGAGCCTTATAAGCATCTAAATGAATTCTTTGAAATATGTTCCACCATTAGATACATGAATGTTCCGGAGGAAGTGATTAGACTACTCCTTTTCCCTTTCACACTCAAAAGCAAGGCAAAGCATTGGTTCAATACTTTGGAAGCAAATTCTATAACTTCTTGGATGCAAATGCAAAATGAATTTTTAAAAAAATTTTATCCCATGAGTTTGACCAATGCTATGCTTACTTCAATTAGAACTTTTTCTCAAAAAGAAGGGGAGTTATTACATGAGGCTTGGGAAAGATTGAATGACTTGCTAGGGAAATGCCCACATCATGGCATTCCAAAATGGCAAGTGGTTCAATACTTCTATGAGAGCCTATCCGACATTCATAAAGACATTGTTGATACATCATGTGGAGGATCATATTTTGGGAAACATGAGGATGACATTTGGCAACTCTTTGAGAAGATGAGCGAAAACTCTTTACAAAAATTTTATACTTCTCAAATTAACCATGAAAGAAAAGAAAAGAAGAAAAATTCTCAAGTTTGTCAAATAAAGAGTTCAATGGGAATTGTAGCCGAGATTAAAACTTTTTCTCAAAAGTTTGACCAATTCTTGTTAAATCAAAAACCGGCTAACAATTCATATCCTCATCATCATACCTCTCAAATGTATGAGCCTTGTATGACATGTTCAAGTGTTTTGCACACTACTTTTGATTGTCCCCACGGACATACTTATAATGAACACAATGAACAAGTCAATGCTACATTTGCTCATCCCTATTCCAATGCTTATGTTCCAAGGTGGAATGAACATCCAAATTCTTTTCAAGCTCAGAATTTTCAAAACAAGTACATTCCACCTCATAAGAGAAATGAAAGTTTTCAAGGGTTCACTCCTTCATATCATCAAAGAATGAATAATTCTTCACATCCTCAAATGTATGAATTCCAAACGAAGCATCATCCTCCTCATGCACTTCATAATAATTCTACATTTGAAGATAAGGTTTTAATGGCTTTGGATAGCCTAGAGAAGAACACAAATTTGTTGCATTCACACTCTCAATCTATATCAAAGCTAGAGTCCCAAATCGGGATCATAGCTAATGCATTGAATGTAAGGGAAGTGGGTAAGTTACCTAGTCAACCCGAGAGGAACCCAAAAGCTCAATTTTGTGTGAAGGCAAACTCTACATCGGAGAATGCCTCACAAGTTCAAACACAAGCAATCACTACTTTGAGAAGTGGTAAGCAAGTTGACAATAAGGTTGAGTTGCCAAAGGAGGATAGTGAATCGGTGCAACCAAATATTGTCACTCATCAAAATTCCAATTCCATACCTATCTCTTTGGATGAGAATGTTCCAAATCGGAATACTCAATCTACATCATCTTCTCAAGTGCCAAAATGTCATGAGCCCAAAGCTCCTTTCCCTTATGCTTTGAGAGAAACCTCGCCTCAAGAGAGGCAAGATGGGAAAATACTTGACATGATGGATGTTTTCAAGCAAGTGAACATAAATCTTCCCCTCTTAGATGCAATTAGGCAAATGCCGCCTTATGCCAAATTCTTGAAAGATCTTTGCACACAAAAGAGGAGGAACAAAGGACAAGGTCCTAAGAAAGTGTTCATCACGGAGCAAGTGAGCTCCATTCTTCAACAAAATACTCCACTCAAATGCAAACACCTCAGTGCTCCAACCATTTCATGTGTAATTGGAAATCCTGAGATCCGTAGAGCTCTTCTTGACTTAGGTTCAAGTGTTAACTTGATTCCTTATTCTGTGTATGTCCAATTGGGGTTAAATGAGTTAAAGCCAACCTCGGCGGTGCTTCAAATGGCCGATAGATCCGTCAAAACACCTAGGGGTATGGTTGAGGACATCCTTGTCAAAGTAGATAAATTCTACTTTCCGGTTGATTTTGTAGTGTTAGACACCGAACCGGTTGCTAATCCCACTACCCAAATCCCAATCATCTTGGGAAGACCATTCCTTGCCACCGCCAATGCCACTATCAATTGTAGGTCCGGAATCATGGATCTTTCTTTTGGCAACATGTTGGTCAAACTCAATGTTTTCAATGCAAGTCGACATCCCATAGACGAAGATGAGTGTTATGTTATTGATATGTTAGATGAGGTTGTTGAGGAATCAATTCCCACAATGATCATGAAACAACCGCTTAAGGATGATCTCTCATCTCTTTTATCCGATGATCCTCTTGCCTCATGTCTTCTTGAAATGTATGAGAGTTGTGGGTTTGATAATGAAAATTCAATCAATGAAGTAAGCAATATAATGGAATCCATAGCAAGTTTGAACTGTCCACCATGGAAAACTCCAATTGAGCCTCTTCCTTCACTTTCTAGTACTCCTTCGGTTCCATCTTTGGTATCTCTACCAACTCTTGAGCTAAAAACTTTGCCTTCTAATCTTAAGTATGCATTTCTAGGTCCTCACGACACTCTTCCGGTTATCATCTCTTCAAGCCTAGATGAGGACCAAGAAAATGCTCTTCTGAATGTACTTAAAGAAAACAAAGAAGCTATAGGGTGGAGTGTGGCGGACCTTAAGGGAATTGATCCTTCCATTTGTATGCATCGTATACTCATGGAAGAGGATACAAAATCCTTTAGGGATGCCCAAAGGAGATTGAATCCTAACATGAAAGAGGTAGTTAAGAAAGAAGTAGTGAAGCTTTTGGATGCCGGAATCATCTACCCAATCTTCGATAGCAAATGGGTGAGTCCTACACAAGTAGTTCCCAAGAAGTCGGGAATTACCGTGGTTGAAAATGCTAAAGGTGAAGAAATCTCTAAGCGCACCGCCAACTCATGGTGTGTGTGCATTGATTAATGAAAATTGAATGCCTCCACTAAAAAGGATCATTTCCCTTTGCCCTTCATTGATCAAATCTTAGAGAGATTGGCAGGGCAACAATACTATTGCTTCCTAGATGGATATTCCGGTTACAACCAAGTGGCCCTTGACCCATTAGACCAAGAGAAAACCACTTTTACATGTCCATTTGGCACATTTGCTTATATAGACGGATGCCTTTTGGATTGTGCAATGCTCCTGCTACATTCCAAAGGTGTATGATGTCTATCTTTTCAGATATGGTGGAAGAGTATCTTGAGGTCTTCATGGATGATTTTTCTATTTTTGGGTCTTCCTTTGATGCTTGCCTCAAAAATTTGGACTTAGTGCTTAAAAGATGCCGTGAAACAAACCTTGTTCTTAGTTGGGAAAAGAGCCATTTCATGGTTCAAGAGGGAATTGTTTTGGGTCGCGTCATATCTAGAAGAGGAATTGAGGTAGATAAGGCGAAAGTTGAACTCATCTCTGAACTACCCCTACCTTCAACGGTGAGGGAAGTTCGCTCTTTTCTAGGTCATGCCGGCTTCTATCACCGCTTCATCAAGGACTTCAGCAAAATCGCTAGACTTTTGTGCAATCTTCTTGCCAAGGATACTCCTTTCGTCTTTGATCAAGCATGCCTAGACGCCTTTCATAAATTGCGCACTTCATTGTCATCTGCTCCTATCATGCAACCTCCTAATTGGTCTTTGCCCTTTGGAATTATGTGTGATGCTTCTGACTATGCCATGGGGGCAGTTTTTGGCCAACGAGTAGGTAAGCTCCCTTGTGCCATATATTATGCAAGCAAAACCTTCTTAGGAGCTCAATTGAATTACTCCACTACCGAGAAGGAATTACTTGCTGTAGTATATGCTCTTGATAAGTTTCGCTCTTATTTGCTAGGATCTAAGGTTGTTGTTTACTCTGATCATGCTGCATTGAGACATCTTTTAACAAAGACGGAAACAAAACCTAGATTGATTAGATAGATTTTACTCTTCCAGGAATTCGATTTTGAAATCAAGGACAAAAAGGGCACCGAAAATATGGTTGCTGATCATCTTTCTAGATTACAAATAGAGCCTTTCCCTAGTCCTCCAATTCATGATTCCTTCCCGGATGAACAACTTTTTCAAGTCTCAAATGGAATAATGCCTTGGTTTGCTGATATTGTGAATTATTTGGCAATAGGCAAGCTTCCAACCTCTTGGTCAAAGAACGACAAAAATCATTTCTTTGCCAACATCCGGAATTACTATTGGGAAGACCCTATTTTATACCGCTATTGTCCCAATCAAATTGTGAGAAGATGCATTCCAGAGAGTGAAATCCCAAGTGTCCTAGTGTTTTGCCACACACTTGCATGTGGTGGGCATTTTAGTGCAAAGAAGATCGCCCTAAAGGTTCTTCAAAATGGGCTCTTTTGGCTCACTATTCATAGAGATGCCTACAACTTTTGCAAGTCGTGTGAGAGGTGTCAAAAGATGGGAACAATGTCTAAAAGAGATATGATGCCATTAACCAATATATTGGTTGTTGAAATTTTTGATATTTGGGGCATTGATTTCATGGGTCCATTTCCCATGTCATATGGTTATCAATACATTCTTCTTGCCGTTGATTATGTTTCTAAGTGGGTTGAGGCTTGTGCTACCAAAATGAATGATCACTCCGTGGTCATTCAATTTATTAAATCTAATATCTTTGCTCGTTTTGGTATGCCAAGGGCTATGATAAGTGATGGAGGAAAGCATTTTTGCAATCAATTCTTGAGGCAATTATTTCTTAAGTACTCCGTCACTCACAAAGTAGCCACTCCCTACCATCCTCAAACAAGTGGACAAGTTGAAGTGTCTAACCGGGAAATTAAGCATATCCTTGAGAAAACGGTTAACACCACCCGGAAAGATTGGTCAAGAAAGCTAAATGATGCTTTGTGGGCTTACCGGATGGCATATAAGACTCCCATTGGCATGTCCCCTTATAGAATTATTTATGGGAAGCCTTGCCATCTTCCGGTTGAGCTAGAACACAAAGCCTTTTGGGCAGTTAAAAAGCTCAATTTTGACCTAGCCAAAGCCGGAGAGAATAGGCTACTTCAATTGAGTGAATTGGAAGAGCTAAGGCACAATGCTTATGATAATGCCAAGCTCTACAAAGAAAGAACCAAAGCCTTCCATGATAAGCATATTGTGAAGAAGTCCTTAGAACCCGGTCAAAAAGCTTGGCTTTTCAACTCTAGGTTAAAACTCTTTCCCGGCAAATTGAGAACCAAGTGGAAAGGTCCCTATGAAATTATCTCGGTTGCACCGCATGGAGCGGTAGAGATACAAGACTTGAAGAAGGGGGACATCTTCAAGGTGAATGGGCAAAGATTGAAACCATACATAGAGGGCAAAGACATTTAGAGGCTGCAAATCTTATTAACCCGGTGTATGAACATATTGATGAAGATTTTGATTAGAAC